TTGAAAGAGTCAGCACAGCCAGTGAAGACAATCGCGTTGTGTTGTAAAAAGTCAATTCTCTGCTCATCCTGAATAGACTCATCGGTAAGATGCCATTAGCGGAAACCAAAACCACGAAAAAGTCACAGAGCCGTCTGTTGAAGGACAACCTTGCTGCTTTACATTTTCAACCTATCGTCCAGGAAGCAGATCCTGATTTTCCAATTGTTTTACTTCTCTGTGTGTATCATTTGTCCCTCTCGGCTATCTTGACTGTTTTTCCAATTGTCCTTTTAGTTCGCCTAGGGGAGCACCTTGACGACGGCCACCGCAGCTACCTTCAGGATGCAGCACATGCGTGGAGGCCTCATCGTCTTCCGGGAGGGTGTTGGCAATCCCCTCATCGGACGTATCCGCACCAACTTCACCGAGATTGACAGGGCCGGTGGACGAAATCGTGGTCACAAATTGGAGGAATTTATACGTTGGTGGCAACGGCTGAAGCCCTGGAAGGAGGAGTGGGCTGCCTTAAAACGACGTCTAAGACGTCATAATGCTGGTTTTGATGTGAGTTGCATGTCTCCGTCTGTAGTGTTGAGCGTAAAACTGTAGCCTTTTTTACGCAGTAAGTTGGAGCTTCGCTTAAGCTGGTCAGTGAATAATTGAGTCTACCCAATAGCATCCAACTCAGCACATTTAGCTACGCCTGACGTCTGGGCAGAATTCTAGCAGCAGAAGATGCTAATTTGCATGAAACTTGGCTTCCGAAGGTCTACCAGTGGTACTTCCCCCCCCCTCCGTTCACTCAGAAAATAAACCATCCCTACCTCTCTACTATCCTTACCATCGTTATCATCAGCAGCGGTATCAGTCAAAAAATATCACGGTATTAAGATGGATCACAAGAAATCAGTTTATAAGTGTTGAATTTGATGGCAAAATCACGATTATTAGGTCGAATGTCCGTGTCATTCACCACCTGACTTCAGACTCTGTGACCGTGTCTGTTGTTATTGACGGAGACAGTCACCGTCCTGGTCATGACGTTGATCCTGTGTAATTCCAGGCAGGGGTTTTTCATTTTCGGCTGTGATTTGCCGTAACTCCCATTCTCCGTTCAATGACTGGCATTTTTTCGGTTCTGTAACTTTTCCCACTTCTATTTAGCCAGCTTTTGCCTCCTGTAGGGAGGCTAGATTACTCATCCAGCTATAGTTTCGTCTGGAATTGCTTCTATGCTCCTCCCGACAGAACACAGAAATAACCCCCATCTCCCCACGTAATAGAGCGAGAGAGAGAGAGAGAGATACGCTTTATTTTGAAAATATAATTCAGAAATTTTTAGCAAGAAACATCCTCCATCGAAAAGGACTAAAATTAGGTGCGCAAATTTACAACACCGAGAAACCAAAAGTATTCCATAATCACTAATGCCTGCAATTTTCGACATCGCAGATAAATGCCCCTGAAAAAGCGGTCAAATATAGGCCCAATTTGACTGCTTTCAAAACGGTGCTAGCGTCGTGATCTCACGCACTCATTGTATTTTAAACAAACAAAGAGGGATAAAAATCGGCTAACAATGAGTGAAGTAAACCAACCGACGTATATATAAGAAAATTTAAATGCGAATGGAGGGAGGTAGGTAGGAAAAAGATGGAGGCTCAATTTGAAAAGCCCTTGCGCCAAATTCCAGGAAGGGTAAATTATCTCGTGTCCGAACCCAAGCCCTAACCGTAACCCTACCCTTAACCCTAATTTTCCCGGAATTTAGCGCAGAGTCACCTGTTTTACAGACGCTGCCTGTTCCCGTGTCCTCTCCGGGTGACCATATAAACGTGGCCCTTAGTCCACTTCCCGACATAAATTGTCAATAGGCAACGATGTAAACCATGAAGCTCCGTCTGCAGTTACATTTGTTCAATCGATTAGCCACCCCA